CTGTCTGGTTATTCCTGCTCTGTACCTCAGTAATGTGGTTTAAGCCTGATTACCTGGTAGAGGTAATCATGGTGGTGAAGAAAACGTAACTCTGACAGTGCTGCCAAAGCCAGGCTGACTGCAGTTCACAGCCTGACTCCATCCTTGAGTTCCAACTCAGTTTTTCCACGAAAAGCTGCACCTTTATGTGTCCCTGTCCCAGAGATACTCACATTGGTTTCAGGTGGAAATGCATGTTGGCTGTTACAATAGTCTGTGTCCTTTAAAGAGGTTAATCCAAACTGAAGTCATGAAAACTGCCAGTTTCACTGGTCAGGTCATGCTCACAAAAGATATGGCTCATTTTTTCCTTATGGTGAAAATTTTCTTTATCCCTTGCTTGCAGTGTTTGACACTCCTTATTCCTTAATATAAAGCCTGCCAAAATGCCAAAAATGAGGACTTTAATTATGAAAATAGTAGTAAAGCCTCTTCCTCCCCTGAGAAGTATATAGTTCATGGATGTGGACAGAAAGAGGGTGAATCATCATGCCTCTGTGCTCAGGGTTTTGAAGCCACAATGGTAAAAAGGAGTCCTAAAATTACTTTGAAACAAAGACAGGGAGAGATCTTCTTAGATATTTAGATGAAGTTCCTCCTAAATATAGATGCAGTCTGGGAGACAGTAATTGTTGGGGACTATAGAGAGGGTAGAAGAAACTGCTGCAGTGGACTGTAGGCTGTAGGACATGTGAAGAAAAATGTAGATAGTACAGAAATAGCCCTTAGAAGTCTTCATAGCCTACTTTTGTATGACGGAAGGTGAGTATCCCTATAATTTCCACTACACTGATGAAGATACCTGAAAAAAGCAGGTCTGACATGTCACAGCACTAGGTTGGAGCTACAAGCTCATTTGACTTCATTTGTGTTTCTAGCCACACTTCTATCATGGTTTTGCAATAATGCAAATATAAGAGCCAAGACTTACCTACCCTTGAGCTTCTTAAGCATCATGTTTTGGCCCTGGCCTGTTTTCAAATTCAGGCAATTTTGCTGTATCACTTCGATTGTGTTTGCATTGGTTTGGTCAGAGCAACCCTTACAAAGCCTGAGTCCTTTCAGCAAGGTTATTAACAGTACGTGGAAGGTACCCTGCATGTATTTCAAAAGAATGAAATCCTTTACAAGTTTGTGAAAATAAAACGCAGGTCCATAAAATTGATAGGTTAAAATCAATCTAATAAATGGCCAAGCAAATGCATGCATTCCCATAACATTTTATGACTCCAGTGAGACATTAAGATCACAAAAATGAAAGTGGATAAAACATCGGCTGTTGGCATCTTTATTCTCTAAAGTGTAATTGCCAGTAATGGCTTTTGTCTCAAAACTTAAATATGGAAAATAGTAAAACTGCATGTCACACAAGAAGGAATAAAATGTATTTTAATAAAGCACATTTTTCTACTTTAAATAAAATCAAATATATTTTCCCATTTTCTGCTGAGGAGCAACCGTGGCACAGTGCCTCTGCCCATTCTATATACATTAAAAAAAACTTGTCAAATGTAAAGGCTCAGCCTCTCAGCATTTTTAAAAGCTCACAAGAGATACAAATCGTACTCTGACAATAAAAAGAGCTAATAATAAGATACTTTCATCTGGAAGATATCAATGTCCTTTGGGACTATCTGGCCTTCCTGAACATCCATTTTACATTCCATGAAGCAGACAAGCTTGTGAATTCCACCATCCTCCTCAGCACACTGCTAGTCTAAAGCAAACTTTTCTTTTCCATGTGTCAGCATTTTCTAAGAAAGCTTTTCTGGAGCCACACAGTAATAGATGTTTATTACTAATCCAACTTTCATGAATATCCCTTGTGCCCTTTATTTAATGTCTGGTCAACATTACACTGCTGTAATAGGGGCACTCCTCACCCAAGGGGAGACAGGACATATATATGTGAATTTCCTGCCACCTGAGCTGAGAATGAGATTAGATTGTAGTGGGCTACCAACTTGGCCCCAGGCAACAAGTGCCAGAAGTGCTCAGTGGCAGGGTTAAAGCTGTGCACAGTTCTACTTTTCACTTCCAAAAGGGGATGTTGTACTTCTGGACTTACTGGATTAAGGTTTTTCTGAAACAGGATCATGCTCTTGGAGGAATAAGAAACTAACCCTGCATGTTCAGCATTAGGCATAGGAGTACTTTTAGCTTTCATACTCATAAAATTCAGGAGGATCTGGCATCAGGATGACAGTTTCAAGCCCTAGGTATAGAATTTTCAGTTTAGGCTCATTTTGCATAAACATGCAGTGACAGGTACACAGGGGTTTGCATGATTTGAATGTTTTCAGTAAGTTGGAAGCATGGCACCAGTCAGACTAAAAGAGAAAAATAGAACCAAATACTTAATGCTTAAACCTACAGGATGGCACATGCCAACTTCAGCCCAAATAGAGAACCCCCAGCCAAGACCTTGCAGAGTCCAGCTGAAGCCAGAGCTCCTACTTGGTGCTGAGAGCCTCAGAGGTTTTTGAGTGAGTGACACACAGGTCATGGAAGACCAACAACAGCAAAAATCATTATATTGCAAAGGCAGAAAATACCAGTCAGAATGAGCAGAAGTCAAGTGCTTTCATTGCTTAAAACAGAAACAGTGCAAGGCTGACATCTTCATAAAAAGGGGGGTTACTCTCGTGGCTCTCTTCCTAGAAGTTTCACTTCCTTTGGGTATGTGGTTATTTCAGGTTAGCACAGCAAGCGCCAGAAGAGAAGGCATTTTATTTGTTTGGGTTTTTTTATATTGAAGAACAGGCAAGACCACCATGCACTGGAACAAGAGGAGAGATTACAAAAGCATACCCTGAACAAAAGGGTGTGGAGATCTTTCTACAATACAGAGGTTCACAGTAATTCTTTTCCTGTGAAGCCACACTGAACTCTCTGAACAGCTAATATGTGGTACCTGGGACATCTCTAGCCTAACAGTGATGTGAAAACTCCTTTTGTGATGATCCAAGGTGATTCTCTGCCACATGTTTTGCTCTTAGGGGAAGTGAGTGCCTTCAGGTTGTTTGTTTTTTCTGGTTTTGTATCACAGCTCTGGGCCTGGCACTGTTCTCTGTGAAGTTGGTTTAGCAGGAATAGGATCTGCTCTGTCATCTTAAGTATCGCCCACCTGTTCTCAAAACCACAGAATTCTCTAAAGAAATGTCTGCAGGTGCAATAGAGCAAGGCTGCAGCAGTCACATGCCTTTCTGTTTGGAAAGATGAAGCTCAGTTGCTTGTTTGCATTCTTTATGTATGACTGTACTTCAGAGAGAGCTAAATCCAGTTTTATTATGTAGGAGCAAAACAGAAAATATACAATTGGGACATCATTACAATTGCTGGAGTTGCTTTAATGTAGAGGCATGTGGAACCTGAATGATGTAGGCAGTTACTTGCAATGTTATCTATTGAAAAGAGTATGGTTTAGTTATTTAATTATGCATGTTACAAAAAACTATTATTTTACATCTTTGTGCCATCCCATCATGTTTATTTGTGCCACCCCAAGCTGATCCAGCCATGATGGTCTCCAAGCACTGCTTTTTTTTGGCTGATCCTTGTAACAGTGGTCTTGCCTGCGGGCTCTGCTTAAACCTACAGGATGGCTTTTAAGCTGGCTTTTCTGAGAGGCTGAACAGCACCTGAATTTTTACCATGAGAATTCCTGGCCTCCTGAGCCACAGATATCATTCTGGCAGAAACTGGCTTAAATTTTATAATACATAGTGTGAATGTATCGACCTCTGACCTCTCCAAATTATCAAAACAGGAAGGGTCTCTCCTGCCCCGGGCCATGGCATGAGGGAAGTCACTTCCCGCCTCCCTTGGCCCGGCCGAACCCCTCTGCCTCAGAAAGCCTCATGCGGGAGGCCACTGCCTTCCAGCAGAATCCCGTTTTGGATGATGCACCCTACATCACTGCGCTGTCATTTGCTTCACCTTCAGTATGTGTATCTTAACCCCGCAGCTCCAAGGCATTTGCAGGCATCCAGGCATCTCCCACACACTTCCTTACTCTACAGGGCTGCTCCGGTTTTGCCAGATGCCTACTGCCGACTGCTGCGGCCCCCGCCAGCTCTCCCCGTGCCCCGCTCTCTGGGCGTTCGGGCACCGCATGGCAAGCGGTCCCGGTGGGAAGGAGGGACTGTATTTGCAGCACAGACCTCCCCATCTCCCTGCCGTACGCGATGCTGCTGGAGGCTCCTTCTGGGATGCCGTCCCGACAGACCATTATTAAAAGGCCGAAGGAGTCCCAGGCACCAGCTGTGTACTCCCTTCCTCCTGTTTCTCCCCTCTGTGCTGGCGCCCCTTCCCGCCGGAGGTGCAGGCTCGGCCGCCGGGGGCTCCACCGCGGTTTCCCAGGGCACAGCGGGGGCGCTGGTCCGCCCTGCGCTGCTGGCGGCACACAGCCCGGCAGGCTCCCTCTTCCTCCCTCAGCTGGCCGGGACGGAGGCTTAAGGGGAAAAAAAAAAAAAAAAAAAACTAAACTAAAAACTTCTGGGGTTACTGGGAGGAGAAAAAAAATTCCTCGTCATGTCTGCGGTGTCTTCGAAAACGTCCCGAGAAGGAAGAGGAGGATGCCGCCCCGCGGGGACCGCAGGGCTGGGCGCTGGCTGCGGGGCGGGGGCGTCTCCGCGCCTTTGGACGGGAGGGGCTCTGCCTGCCTGCGGAGCCGAGAAGAAGGGGCCGAGCCACCCTGCTCCCCGCCCCGGAGGGGGTGAGAGCCGCCCTGCTCGGCGGGGCAGGGTGCCCGGGCCGTCCCCTCGCTGCGGCCGCTGTCTGTGCGGCACTAGCCAGCCTCCTCCAGCGCCGGGAGGCGACACAGCCCCGGCGGGCAGGGCCAGGCCGGGGGGGGCCGTGCGGCGGGTGGCACCCCCCTTCTCTCTTCCTCCTCCTCCTTCCTCCTCCTCCTCCTCCTGTTAACTTGGCCACGGCGGCGCGGGGCGGTGCGCTTCGCCCTGCGCCGGCGGCGGGGGATGTGCGGGCGGCGGCGGGATGGCTTCGGCCGTGTTTGAGGGCACCTCACTGGTGAACATGTACGTGCGGGGCTGCTGGGTGAACGGCATCCGGCGGCTCATCATCAGCCGGCGGGGCGACGAGGAGGAGTTCTACGAGATCCGCACCGAGTGGTCGGACCGCAACATCCTCTACCTGCACCGCAGCTACTCCGACCTCGGCCGCCTCTTCAAGCGTCTCCTCGATTCCTTCCCCGAGGACCGGCCCGAGCTGTCCCGCTCTCCCTTGCTCCAAGGTTTGAGCAGTCTCCGCGGCTCTGGCGCTCTCTACTCGGCGGGCGGGGGGCTTCGGCCGCCGCTTCCCCGGGGGTGGCGGTGGCCGGGGCGGACGGGCGGGTCAGCGGTCCCTCTCGGCGGAAGGAACGGGGCGAGGAGCTGGAACCGCTGAGAACCGGACGGGGCGGGGGGGCAGAAAAACTGCGGGGGCGTTTTGCGGTCGGAAACTCCTCCCGGGATGTTGATTTGTGTTTCTCCTTTTTTTTTTTTTTTTCTCCTTTTTTTTTTTTTTTTTTTTTTTTTTTTTTTTTTTTTTTTTTTTTTTTTTTTTTTTTTTTTTTTTTTTTTTTTTTTTTT